AACAGACCCTGTAAAGACATCCATTGAATTTAAAAGGGTGCATTTCTCGAGCTTTTTTTTTTTTTAACCGCAAAATCGCTTCAAAAACTACTCTGTGTGAAAATAAGCCTAGATCATATTCATTTAAATTCATGATATTAATTAATAAGTTGAATACACACAAACACACACATATATATATATATATATATATTTTTTTTTTTTTTTTTTTTTTTTTTTTTTTTTTAACTGTCCGTTTTGGTTTTAGGGCCAAATGCATCCTGAATTTTCATTGCTGTGCACTACTACCACTGATCCAATTAGCCCATATACACTGGACCAGGGTTTCTAGGGTCCCTCCAGAGGTTGCTAGGGGTTCCTTGAGCAATTTCTGCCTCTCAGATAAGTTCCCACTGACACCATCAATCTTTTTAGCTCTCTGTAAGGGGGTAATTCTTCCCTATGATCACAAATGTAAGAAGCAGTCTTCCCACTGACTATCACACTAATGTATCATGAGCTGTAGATATAGTCATTTTTAGCAGGGGTTCCCTGAGACCAGAAAGTTATTTCAAGAGTTCCTTTGTGTTGAAAAAGTTGACAAAGGTTGCACTGGACACTCTTCACTGGCCAACAAGACAATCACTAAAGCTGTGTACACACTAGAAGTTGTTTTTTTTTTTTGTTCAACCTAGTGGGCTGTACAAAAAAAAAAAAAAAAAAAAAAAAACAAAAAAAAAAACAGATTTGTATTAGGGGTGCACCAAAATTTCAGCGGCTGAAACAATTCGTCCCCGAAAACACCCCTATATGAAAATAAGCACCGATATGAAAATAAGCACCGATAAAAGCGCAGAAAATAACCCCGCCCCCTTGCCGCTGCCACCGGCCGCCGCTCGGTAGTTCTCAGCCTTACCTAAGAAAGCACTGAACGATCCCGGCACTGGGCATAGAGATAAGTGAAGGAAAGATGGCCTCCACTCATCTCTATGCCCTTGGAGGACCGGAGCGATGTCACTTCCAGTTCCGGCGCCTTGTAAACAAAGCAAATTTGGTTTTTTTTTTTTAGAGCACTAGATCAATGCTTTTCATTGTAAAGGGGAGATGAGGGGTCTTATTGACCCCATATCTCTCCATAAAGAGGACCTGTCACTAATTATTTCTATCACAAGGGATGCATGCATTCGTTGTGATAGAAGTAAAAGCGATTACATTATTTTTTTAAAGGGATATTGTAAAAAAAAAAAAAAAAAACTTTAAAGTGCCCCCCCCCTTTCTCGCAGGTAGTGGTGAATGCATACACAGGCCACACTCACATATGTAAACGGTGGTCAAACCACACACGAGGTATCGCCACGAACGGCAAAGCAAGAGCAATAATTCTTGCACTAGACCACCTCTGTAACTTTACACTGGTAACCCGTAGAAATTTTTTTACAGCGTCATTAATGGAGATTTTTAAGTACCGTAGTTTGAAGCCTTTCTACGAGCACAATTTTAAAGTGTGACATGTTGGGTATCTATTTGCTCGGTGTAACATCAGCTTTCATATTTTACCAAAAAAAAAATTGGGAAATGTTGTGTTTTTTCCCCCCAAAAAATATAAAATTAAATTTTTAAAAACTGTCCGATTTGGTTTTTGGCCAAGTGCAACCTGAATTTTTGGTTTCAGCACCAGATTTTTCATTTCAGTGCACCACTACACAGTACTAACACAAACGACGCCCCCCCCCCCCCCCCCCCCCCCCCCCCCCCAAGAACACACTGGCCATTGGCTGCCAGTGCTGATAGGATTCTGGTTCTCTTAAGTGACTGCAAAGCAATACTTCTGGCACAAGGATTCACAACAAATGTGAATGTTAACCTACATCACTTCCTGTCCCATATAATATTTTTCAGCCAAGAGGACACCCAAACATGGCTGCTATAGCCTAAGTTAATAAGCAGGTAGAACAACGGTGATGTCAGGTAGATTCATAACATAATCTAACTGCAAAAAGTAATATTTTATTGCAATCTAGCCCACCCCTTTAGTTTCATCAGCCTAGATGCCAACTTTTCTGGTCCTTACTCTCTGAAAACTCATCCCCACTGTTCCTTTACTCAGATGCCAATATTTATTATCTAGCCTCAGGTTCCAAACAAATTATATATTTGAATCTACCAACATCATGGCCTTTTTCTCCTGCCCCTCCATCAAAGCTCTGAAAACAGTGAACGCTTATTCCACCCGAAATCCCCAGACTTATTCACATTGCACATGGATGATGGGAACCATGCCCATGTACACTGTCCCACCAAAATGAGGTAATCTTGGGATTTTACCAGAACTAGTATTGCCATTAGATTTCCCCTCTAATAGTGTTCTGATGTCAATCCAAAATTTGAGACTTTTTATTTTAGATAACAGTAAACGGAACAAAGAGAGTGGGTCAAATTCTCGAACAGGGACACAGACAGCTATAAAACCTGACAAGAGTTCTAATTGCTTTCTGAAACAAAAAATGTTTGCCTTTAGTGACACTTTAAATGTTTTGCCTACCCAAAAAATGTGTTGGGAGTTATAGGCGGAGTCCTTTGGCCTCCCACCTTGGACTTGTTGGTGTTCCTACTTCTTTCTATAATAGGAAATTATCCAAACAGGAGAATGGAACTCCCTCAGTGACCACAGCGGGTACACAATCCTGAAACTGGTCACAGAGATCTTGCAAATAAAATTTCCATAAAAAAACTATTATTTGAGATCAGTGTCCCTAGAAATACCCCTGTAATTGCCCTTTGCACAGTAGCACATTGCCTCAGGAATGTCCCAATGGCCTTCTCAGAAGTTCCACTGAAAACAGTACTTGAACCAGGCCCAGTGCCTAGCTCAGCATACTATGAAATATCCCTACCCTAGAAACACAACTCAACAGTTCCCCTGCAAAAACCACTGTCCTTGTCATGTTTGGATCAACTCCAGCATACCCAGAAATGTCCTTGTGCCCCCATACCAGTTTTAGCAGCAACATTATACCTGAAAATCTGTTTTCCACATGGAAAGACCCCTTAGTGGTAGTAAAGTGTTCCTCAATATACTGGAAAAAGACTGACTGCATGGTCTGCCAATACTAATGTATATACACTTAAAACTGAACTCTGGAAACTAGACAAGAACAAGCCTTGCAGAGGTGTCCCCCGCACTGCAAGGGTTAAATACTTGTTTAGTCTAGAGGGAGCTACACAGACATTATTACTTACCTGACTCCACACTCAGGCTCCTATCAAAAGCGCCAATCTGTGGGCAGGACCTGAGCATCATCACATGCAATGCAGGGCTATTAACCCTTCATTGTATGTGGAGGGGTAATCATGCAACCACAGCCCAAAGCATCTTAGAGAGGAGGCTGTGTGGATCTAGGGAGACTGCTAGCACCAGGAATAAAGTATGTATGCCTCCTTATCTGTACACCCCTAGACCCAATAAGCATTTAACCCTTGTAGTGTGGGGGGCCACACTGCTTGTGTTGTTTTTGTCCCATTTCTGGAGTTCAAAAAGTCTTTGAATTGTATTTTCACAGTTGTGCACATGTACCTTAAGGGTTGCTTCACACCAATGTGTTTTAAATGTAACAGGAAATGGCTGATCTTAAAGACATTGCAGTTAACATTAACTTTAGAGCAAATGTTTCCCCTCAGTCTCTGGAAACAAGAACTGATAGCTTATCGTGCATAACAAAAAATGCCTGGATCAAAAAGATAATCATGAACAGTAATCATGTTTAACTAAATGTATATCCTCATGCAGTAATAAAACAAAAGCATTCATTTTAAATGACACACTAATAAGAATGTATAATCATGACACAAAGACAAGGATCTGTTTGCACACCTATTTTATGGAGGATAATAGCCAACTTTACCACAAACAAGTAGCACAAAGTTTACTTAGAAACAAAAACTACACTGAGAAAAAGATTGTGTGCGCGTGTATGTCAGTAGGATAACTCCATTCAAAAACAAATACATATTATGTTCCCAGCATCTTTATTACACACACACACAATATATATATATATATATATATATATATATATTTATATATATATATATATATATATATATATATATATATACACACACACACACACACACACGGGCGGACTGACCATTTGAAAAACTCGGGCACTGCCCAAGGACCCGGGGTCAGTAGGGGGCCCCATGAGATGCCCCTGGTACCTTTTTCATAGGCTTTTTTGAGTTTGGGCAAGGACACAGGGGCCCCATGATCCCCTATTGCCCAGGGGCCCCATGAGTTGTCAGTCTGCCTCTGCACACACACACACACACACACACACACACACACACACACACACACACACACACACACAGTTGTCTTAAGGGCTTGTTGCTAAAAAAAAAAAAAGCAAAAAAAAAAAACTGTAGCCAAACGAACGTGTCAGATGGACAAGTTAACTTTATGTATGCTGCAATCACCAGTTTTAGAACATACATGCAAACGTGTATATTATACATACATACCTATACTTATTTAGGTCATTTAGCACGTAGAGATAAACCACCATACCATTTATTGACATCCACACAACACAAACCCCGGGGATTAAGCTATTACATAAACCTGAACAGCAGCAATAATCACATCATGGGAGCCTGTGATGACCTGTGACTTCAATTCTAAAGTGGGAGTAATCTTTAGTGATCGGCACACATATATTAACCCACTGACTGCGAGGGAAACCTGCAGAACTGGCATCCCCTGGAAGGAGGAGAGGAACACCCTAAAGTGTGCCAGCATGTAAACAAACCAGCATGTTGTAGGGATGAGAGAACAGGAGGGACAGGGCAGGGATGATGGGTTTGTGGAGCCGGCCCCCAGTGGGCAGTCAGTGTGGGAGGCGGGTGGACCGGCATGCAAAGGGTGGGGGAAAGTCTTGCAGGCCACACAATAGACAACTCCCCTCTCCACCCTCCTCCTGTGCTCAGTGTGTGTCTATGGGGTGGGGAGGGGGTGCACATACCTGCCCCTTGTGAGTAAATTCACCTCCTCCTGTCTGACCGTCAATCTTCTCTGAAGTCATCTCGGCTGTGTGCTCTGGATCTCCTGTACACACGGAGAAGAAGTGTCACAACACATCAGCACAATCACATCTCCTGGCAGCAGGAGACATGGCGGGGGCAGGGCAATGCTATTTCCGGGATGGAGCAGGGAGAGCCTCTTGGGGACACTGGTGGCGGCAGGTTGACGTATGGGGGGGGGGGGGGGGGGAAAATTCTAAGATCTCCTATGACCACGAAGCTGGGAGGAACAATGTGGACCTCCAGGGCCCCTGGGGAACTAGTGACTCAGGAAGTAGATTAGCAAGACAATAAGTCCCAGAAAGAACCCAGAGCTAAGACCCAGCACCCCTCCCCCCAACCAATGAAGGACTACAAGTCCCAGCATGAAACCCCGAGAGTTAAGGGCCTGTCCTGCCCTCCTCCCAAATAGTGAAAGGCAACAAGTCCCAGCATGAACCCTGAGAGCTACGAATGGGACCCATTCCCCCCCTAGTGACAGACTACAAGGTCCAGCATAAACCCTTCATATCTAAAGATATGACGACCCCCCCCCCCCCCCCCCGAACTAGGAAAGGGACTATAAGTCACAGTGGAAATCCATGAGATCTAAGGACCTTAACCCCCTTCACACCAACTGGTAAAGGGACTACATGTGCCAGCATGAACCCCTGAGATCTAAGTATGGGATCCCCTCCCTCCACACCAACTAGTGAGGAGACTACAAGTCCCAGCAAGATCCCGAGTTCTAAGGACCTGAACCCCCCTTCACACCAACTGGTAAAGGGACTACATGTGCCAGCATGAACCCCTGAGATCTAAGTATGGGATCCCCTCCCTCCACACCAACTAGTGAGGGGACTACAAGTCCCAGCAAGATCTTGAGTTCTGCGGACCTAACCCCCCCAAGGAAGAGGCTACAGATCCCAGTATGAACACCAGACAAATAAGGACTTGATGCCCCCCCCCCCCCCCAACTAGGGAAAGAGATCACAAATCAACTACTGAGATCTAAGGATGCGACCCCCCAGAAGGGAAGGACTACAATTCCCAACATGAACCCCTGAGATCCAAAAACCTACGCCCCTCCCCAGGTCAGTGACACCAACTACTGAAGGACTACGAGTCCCAGCATGCCCCTCCCCCACCGGACAGCAAATATTCTCCCCGTCCTGTGCGGCCTATGTGCAGGCCACGCTGGGAATTGTAGTTCCTCGGCGGGCCGCAGTGTGGTGCCGTACCAATGTCTGGGGAGGGCAGGACTGTGGTCTCCCGGTGTCCAGGTGAGGGGAGGGAGGGAAAGGGGCAATTTGGTGTCTCCACCCCACCCACCGAGGGGGCCAGAGAAAAGGGCGGGAGAGGAGGAGAGAAGGGAGGGGATCTTCCGCCACCCTCCTCCGATTGCGGGGCGAGCGAAGAAAGGGGGCGAGGGTGAGGAGGGCGGAATTCCCTCCCTGGACATCCCCGGTAACAGCGGCCTCCCCTCCCCGCCTCAAACTTGGTACTGCCCCAACAGTGACCGGGCTTTAGTCACTTCGTACCACCGTTCCCTCCCTCCTCCCCCCGGAGCCGAGGGTGGGGGAGGGGGACACTCCCGGTCACATAACCCACCCGCCCGCCATTCCTTACCGCTCATCACGTCTGGGGCTGCACAGGGACTTCACACAAACCTTAGCTGACGAAGGCAACCTAACCTGCCTGCCGCGCGGCGGAGACGGGGGAGGGGGCGGGATCACGGGCGGAGATCGACAACCAGTCCGACCACTCCCGCTGAGGGGCGGCTCCACCCGCCCAATTGGGTGGCGCGGAGGGTGGGACAGATCCGATGACTGACAGGAAGACGACTCCAATGACAAGCTGGGTAGCCCCGCCCCGCCCACGGAGTGGGTGATGGGGGGTGGTAAGCGAGGAATGTGGCATAGGAGGGAACAAGGGCGTCGCTCTCTTCCTCCTTTCTCGTTATTCCCGCCCCAAGCCAGATTTACAGTTGGATTGACCAATGAGAGTACGTAAACTCTGTAAAATGAGCCAATAAAAGAAGAGGCAGCGATGGACGGACGGACGGACGCGGTGTAGGGGTCGTTTGATTACGCTCACATGGATTTAGGCGCCATTTCGTGGGATTTAAAGTTTCTTTTGGGAGTAAAGTTCAGACAGTGTTAGTTTTGTATGTAGGTGACCCCATAGAAGTAAATGGGGAGCCCCTTACTGAGGTGATCACAATGGCTGCTGTGTGTCATGGCGGGTGTTTAGAGGAGAAATATTGGTTTGTTACGAGGTGAGGTACAATCTAATGGCTGACCTGAACACAGGTGGGAGCTGTGTATGTGAGACCTAGTATGAGGCTAGGTACACGCCTGTGCAGGGTATGTTTGACCTGTTAACGCATTGCATTGCAGTTTTTTTCTTGTTGCTTGGCAGGTTTAAAATGTAAAACCGCATACATGCTTTTCTGCAGCGCTTACATTGATTATAGAACCAAAAACACAACTTGTGTTTAAAAAAAAAAAAAAAGTCCTGACCCTTTCTGAAAAGGTGCACAGGTATGAACACGTCCCATAGGAGATCATGTTAAATGGGCTGTACTGCGTTTCTGCAAAATGCAGAAAATGCTTAGGTGTGAGCCTAGGGTAAGAGGTAGTACACAGCTAAGGGTGTGCTCACATTGTACCCACTGAGCGGCATTGGGAAATATAAGGGCTCCTTCACACTTTATTTCTAACTCTTGCCAAACACCCCTATAGCGTTTTGGGAAGTTTTTGTTGATTCCCCCTCCCACATGGGCTTCAACTTGTATAAGAGCAGTGTGAACCGCAGGCTTTTGCAAAGCATTTGCAGAGTTTTCAGCAAGCTTTGATGAAGCTCTTAAAGTACCATTCGGCTCTAGTTTGTAGATGTTGAATACAGATCTTAATGGTAGCGTTGACTGCCATTTTTAAGCAAGCTGCTAGCAGACATCCGCCTTCAAGAAACCTGCTAGCAGCTTGTTTAAAGTGGCAATCAGCACTCCAGTTAGGATCTGTACAACATCTACAAACGGAGCTGAATGTTACTTTACAATCTTCATCAATGCTTACTGAAAACTGCAAATGCTTTGACAAAGCTTGCTGTTCACACTGCTCTTATACAAGCTGCAGCACATGTGAAACTGGCCTTGGTTCTAAAGTCTGAAGGTTCTTTACATAGGGGCAATTTCACACTCCACTCCAGTTTGTTCTTTTTTTTTCCTGCAAAAACACATCAATAGGTTACATGTTTTCTAGTCCCATAGTTCACACCAGTGTAGTCAGTTCCAGTGCTTTCTAGTTCCAGGAAAAAAAACATGCTGTATTTTTTTCTGAACTGTACTGGAACGCAGGAAAATATACTGGAACACACACGCTCTTTGAGTTGAAGGAGGGAAAAAATTAACGAGCGTATCAAAAATGCACTGGAATGCATTTTTGTAATGTAACATACAGAAACTCATCAGGATTGCGGTTCTATGGTGTGAACAGGCCACAGAGCAGCCCCGAACCTCCTCTTCTTGGGTCCCATGCTGCTGCTCCTGGCTCCTCTTCTGTCCATTGCCCCCATGCAAAGTGGCTTCTTGTGCGTGCTCGTTCCTGAGACCTGCTGCGTCCATTGGCAGACAGTGGGAGTCTGCTCCACACCCCCGCTCTTGCCACTGGCTTTGATTCACAGCAGCAGGAGCCCCACCAAAGTCAGTGAGGGGAGAGAAGAGCTGCAGAGGTGCACAGCGCTGGATTGAATTGGGACTCAGATAAGTATAAGGGGGTGAGAGACCAAAACCAATGACTAAACATTTTTTCCCCCAAATGCAAGGAATGCATTAAGGTAAATGTTTAGGCTTTAGAACCACTGTAATGCAAAAACTGTGTGTGCAGCTCCTCCTACCCCTACCAAATACCTCAACTGGATCCAGCATGGTGCATGAGAGCTTTGGGCTCTGTTCCTCTTGGGTTCACAGACCGCAGCAGGAGTCATTGGCAGGGGTGGGGCCGAGCCATGCACTAATTCGGAGTGGGCCAGCACAAGTGCCCTTATAGCAAATAGCTTGCTATGGTGGGCACTTAGTGGGGGGTAGCCAGGAGTGCCAGCGGGGGACTTGGAAAGAGGAGGATCGAGGCTGCTTTATGCAAAAGCATTACACAGAGCAGGTAAGCATGACGTGTTTGTATAAAATATGCAAATGCAAGAACATAAAACATGTCTAACCTTTAGAACCACTTTATTCCTATGTAACTTCACATCTATGTCATGTGTTTGTTTTTTTTTTTTTTTTTTTTTTTTTTTTTTAGTGTTATGCGTTTAGGGCCCTTTCACAGTGATTCTCTTAAAGTATATCTGAACCTTCACCTTGTAAAACAACTCATACAGTTTAAAACAAATGAAAGGTAAAATATTTTTCTGTTTTATCACATATCCTCTGTTCTCAGCAGCACAGCAAGGTGAGAGGTGGAGAAACCGCAGAATGCTGATCTTCCCAGTGAATGGCTGTGCAGGGCAGGTTGTCGACACAAGTGTGACCATTGGAGGAGAACACACAGAGTTCCCAGCACAGCTAGGCAATTGTCCACACTGTGCTATCATATCTAGCAAAGTCAGGTTTTCATAGGAAATCAGAGGGACTGGCAAGAACACCAGGATTTCACACAAAGAAAGCAATACAACCTCTGGCAACAGTATAGAATTGTCACTCTTGGAAAATGTTAATTCAATTGTTTATTTGTGTAGAAAATAGCAAAACTAATAGACATGCCTCAAAACTATTTTCATTTAACATTCCAACCTTCTGGCTTTAAGAAACACTTGAAAAAATAAGAGAAAACTGTAGTCAGTTGCAATGAAGTAGAGGAAAAAAAAATATGGCATCACTCAATTCTGAGAAAAATATTGTGGAAGCGTGAAAAAAAACTGTAATACACCACTAGTAGTTTGCTGCACCACCTCTGACTTTTAGAAGAGCTTGAATTCTCTGAGGCATGGATGTAACGATCGACAAACAGTATTCATCAATCCAGCTCCAAATTTCTCTCATTGCAGT